CAAAGTAATTGATAATTATTGCTAATAGAAATTGTTAATTAATTTAAAATTTATAAAATTATAAATTACTATACTTATAAATTTAGATATTTTCTTTAAATAAAAATTGATTTAAATTTAAGCATTTTGATGATTTTTTTGTGAGATTTTGTTATTGTATGTATGTATGTATATTAGGGTGGGCTTTTCACTCGGATCAACTTCTAATAGTGAAATTATGTTGTATTTTAACGTCAAATGGAAGACTGTAAAATATTATTCAATTATTTTGAGGGTAAGAGCCCGCGCATCGCCGCCAAAGTTTGTAAATGCGTTTATATGGGAAAAATGGCACTTTTTGGAGTATTTTCACAAAATGAGGCTTTAAGTATTAATTATTGCACCATTTTATAGCAAAATCGTAATGTCTACAAAATTGTCTTTCCAAAAAGATGGAAAAACTCAAAATTGGTTAAAAAAGTTTTGAGTTATTAAAATTTCCCCCGAGAATTTTGTGATTCTGAAGACATATAAAAGTAAATATAAGAAAATTTTTGTTAGTTTTGAAAAATTGTACAAAAAATATTATGTTTATCTTTATAAGGTTCATAAATGTGCTAGTACGAATTTTTGTTCAAATTGGATAACGCTTACTCGGTTTAGTCTGTGGTCAAAAAAGGGCCATTATTTTAACAGCATCTCCAAAACTCCATTTTCAAACTTTTTTTTTTAAATTTTGTTAAATGGATTATTAAAAATTAAAGTTTTCTATGCTGGATATTATAAAGGATATATGTAAGAATTAAACATAGAAAGAATGAGCTTAATACCTCTCATAATTTTACCGTACCTGCGATGTGAATTTGAAGGATTTCGGGAAAAAGGCAATTTTTGCCAATAATTAAGTAAAAATTATATTATTACCAATTGTTGCTTAATTTTGATCAATTAAATTGCGATTATTATTTCCGAGTCCATGAAAAGTTATTTCTGATAAAATTTCCGAAATTAAAAATCATTAACCCTCTAAAAACCGGGGTCAAAATCAAGTTTTTGTATATTTAATATTCTTCATTAAAAATAGCAAAATATTGTGTATTTAATTATGAATTCATTTTGACAAACTACACGAAAATATATCCAGAAATCTAGGAATCAAACTTCTTCAAAAATTAACTCTCTGTCATACTTGGGGTCAATTCAAGACCGATTTTTAAACACTACAAAAAAACACTTTTAAAAAGGAATTTTCTAAAATTAATTTTCTTAAAGATTTAATGGATATATATCCAGTATTTGGTTTATCGTATTATTTGAATGTAGTAAAAATAACTTCTAAGAAGTTTCATCAATATCCATCAACAAATTAACAACATCATGCTCTTATTTCTTCAAGAACATAAAATTCAAAAATTTGATTTTGACCCCGGTGTTTAGAGGGTTAATGATTTTTAGTTTCGAAAATTTGATTAGAACTAACTTTCCATGGACTCGGAAATAATAATCGCAATTTACTTGATCAAAATTAAGCAACAATTGGTAATAATATAATTATACACTCCACCACCATCAGTGGTGATAGAGGGTATATACAAGTTTGTCGTTCCGTGTGTAACACCAAGAAATATTCATCTAAGACCCAACAAAGTATATATATTCTGGGTCCTTATCAAATTCTGAGTCGATTTAGCTATGTCCGTCTGTCTGTCTGTCTGTCGGTGTAAAACACGCTCACGTTAAAACTAAGCAAAGGAAATGAACCAAATTCATCCAAAATATTTATTATTATCCTATGCAGTTTGGTGTTGAAAATCAGCAAAATCGGTTCACAACGTAAAATGTTATGAGTACAAATTTCAGACTACCTCGAAAAAAATTACGTTTTTTTCATATTTCAAATATATTTCGATGAATTTTGTCACACATTATTTTTTCAGGACAGTGATGAATTATATTCAAAATCTTTACAATCGATCCAATATTTCCCATAGCCCCCATACAAAGGTATATATTCCCGGAAATTAGTTTATCGTTAATAACTCCCTCAAATATATCGGTATCAACACGAAATTTTGTACATATAAATATAATATGAACAGAAATCATACTGTCAACGTAGATCTCAGTCGGTCCACAATTGGTCATAGCTCCCATATAAGGTCCACTTCCGAAAATCAGCTAAACACACATATTTCTTTGATGAATAAAGCTATTGTGATAAAATTCGAGTTGGATATGTTTTGTATACATACAAATCATTCTACCGAATTTTTTACGGATCGGTCCATTATTGGTCATAGCTCCCATATAAGGCCCACTTCCGAAAATCACTTAAAAGCACATATTTCAATGCCAAATAAAGCTATATTGATAAAATTCGACACAAATATGTTTTACCTAAACATGAATCATTCTACGAATATTTTTCCGGATAGGCCCATAATTGGTCATAGCTCCCATATAAGGTCCACTTCCGAAAATCACTTAAACGCATATATTTCATTGAATTCTAAAGCTATTTTGATGAAATTCGACAGAAATATGTTTTGTGTGCACTCAAATCATTTCACAATTTTTTTTACGGATCGGTCCCTTATTGGTCATAGCTCCCATATAAGGCCCTCTTCCGAAAATCACTTAAAAGCACATATTTCAATGTCAAGTAAAGCTATCTTGACAAAATTCGATACAAATATGTTTTGCCTAAATATAAATAACTCTACGAAATTTTTTCCGGATAGGCCTATAATTGGTCATAGCTCCCATATAAGGTCCACTTCCGAAAATCACTTAAACGCATATATTTCATTGAATTCTAAAGCTATTGGGATAAAATTCGACTTGAATATGTTTTGTGTACGTACAAATCATTTTATAAATTTTTTACGGGTCGGTCGATTATTGGTCATAGCTTCCATATAAGGTTCACTTACGAAAATCACTTAAAAGCACATATTTCATTATCAAATAAAGCTATCTTGATAAAATTCGACACAAACACGTTTCGTCCAAATATGAATCACTCTGCGAAATGTTTCCCGAATAGGCCCATAATTTCTTCATAGTTCCCATATAAGGTCCACTTCCGAAAATCACTTACACGCATATATTTCATTGAATTCTAAAGCTATAGGGGTAAAATTCGACTTGAATAAGTTTTGTGTACATATGAATCATTCTACCACTTTTTTCTCGGATCGGTCCATTATTGGTCATAGCTTCTATATAAGGTCCACTTCTGAGAGTCACTTAAACTCACATATTTCATTGTCAAATAAAGTTAACTTGAGAAAATTCGACGCAAATATGTTTTATCTTGACATTAATCACTCTACGAAATTTTTTGCGAATAGGCATATAAAACATTGTACCAAATTTTTTCTGGATCGGTCCATATTTGGTAATAGGTCCACTTCAAAAAATCTCTTAAACGCACATATTTAATTATCAAATAAAGATATCTTCATAAAATATAAAATATAATGAATCACTCTGCGAAATTTTTCCGGATAGGCCCTTAATTGCTCATAGCTCCTATATAAAGTCCACTTCCGAAAGTCACCTAAACGCACATATTTCATTGATTAATAAAGCTATTGGAGTAAAATTAGACTTGATCTTTTTCTGTATATAAATCATTATATGAAATTGTTGCCTGATCAGTCCATAATTGGTCACAACTCCCATATTCTGTATATAGATACATCATTCTATTAAAATGTTTTCGAACTGGTGTATTAATATACATTTTTCTGGACCTAATCAAAATTAGTTCGACAAAAATTTTGGCAAGTTATCTAAAAATTAGATAGTTAGATGGGTTAATAATCCATTTAACAAAATTTTTTAATGTTTGAAAATGGAGTTTTGGAGATGCTGTTAAAATAATGGCCCTTTTTTGACCACAGACTAAACCGAGTAAGCGTTATCCAATTTGAACAAAAATTCGTACTAGCACATTTATGAACCTTATAAAGATAAACATAATATTTTTTTGTAAAATTTTTCAAAACTAACAAAAATTTTCTTATATTTACTTTTATATGTCTTCAGAATCACAAAATTCTCGGGGAAAATTTTAATAACTCAAAACTTTTTTAACCAATTTTGAGTTTTTCCATCTTTTTGGAAAGACAATTTTGTAGACATTACGATTTTGCTATAAAATGGTGCAATAATTAATACTTAAAGCCTCATTTTGTGAAAATACTCCAAAAAGTGCCATTTTTCCCATATAAACGCATTTACAAACTTTGGCGGCGATGCGCGGGCTCTTACCCTCAAAATAATTGAATAATATTTTACAGTCTTCCATTTGACGTTAAAATACAACATAATTTCACTATTAGAAGTTGATCCGAGTGAAAAGCCCACCCTAATATACATACATACATACAATAACAAAATCTCACAAAAAAATCATCAAAATGCTTAAATTTAAATCAATTTTTATTTAAAGAAAATATCTAAATTTATAAGTATAGTAATTTATAATTTTATAAATTTTAAATTAATTAACAATTTCTATTAGCAATAATTATCAATTACTTTGTTTACTTTTGTCAAATTTAAACACAAAAACATGCAATATACTAAAACAAATTGCATACAATAACAAAGTCTTAATGAACAAACAACCCATCAAGTTTTATTGTTCAGTCGGCTTGATTTGTACTAACCAGTCAAACTATCAGTTTTTTTTACGTTCCTTAGTAAGAAAACGAAACCAAGAACTAAGCAATACGTAAGCAGCACACGCAAATCTGTTTTTACTGTTCAGTCGTTGTGTTCAGTTCGGCTGAGTTGAAAAACTTAACATGGCCGCCGCTTGTGTGTGTGGCTGCTGAAGAAAAACAAAACCACTTGCAAGTTTTTGCAGCAGTGCGTTGACACAGTTGACTGACTTCAGTTAGCTTGTGAGGGAAAAATAAATACTTGAACTTTCTTCAGTTCAGTCGACATTTAAAAAAATAAAACTAAAAACTAAATATTAAACCCTGATATCAACCTTTTATTTTCAGAACCACAAAAATTCGTAGCCGAGCGGCCCTCCCACATATTATGTTATTTGGTGAGAAGAAATAACTGTATAACATATTCTAAATGTATGTATAAATAAATGTAGGTATGTACACTGATTCAAACATTTATCCATACAGCATGTATTTAAAAACATATTTAGTAATATTTTCTAAAATATTTGTCCGATTTACAAAAAATTTGTTTTTATCATAAGTGAAACTGTCCTAATAAATATTCTATTTTTATTATTTTTAAATACAACACCTCTATAATCAAACTCAAAAAATTGTCCGTAAAGAAGAAAAACAGTAAAAGGATACAGCTCTAAAATATAACGGTGCATTAAAATGAGCACAATATAATTAATTAAATATTTTATGACAACATTTGGAAACTAATACGTCATAGGAGACGATTTTCAGTTAGTTAATGATAACAACCCAAACCGCTCATCGAAAATTTTAGGTAGGTAGGTAGGTTGATAGGAGGATGTATATTACATCAAATCGGAAGAAATACACCTAGGCCACTATCGGGCCTGTTGTGCGCTCCTTATCATGAAAAAAAGGGAACTGAATGAATTATTTTTCAGTGTTCATAAACTCAGTTTCCTGAACGTAATTCCTAAGAATCTTCCAATCAGTGTTAGTCAGGAATGTTATTTCCGGAATAACATCAGTTCCAAGATACTTGGATCTAACTTTGACGAATGCCTGGCAGTGCCAAGAAAGTGCTCCAGAGTTTTACTGTCCTCTCCACATGCTCTACATTCGTCTGAATCCTCACGTCCAATTTTGCATAGATGTGTTCGTAATCCTGTGTGTCCACTGAGAATACGTACCATCATACTAACTTCAGACTTGCTCATTTTGATGAGATTTTTCGTCTTGCTCTCATCAGGGTCACCCTATAGGATCTTTGTGGTACTACCCACTGCTTCATTATTCCGAAAGACCTTATGGGATTCTCTCACCCATATTTTTAGTTCAGCTTTTGTTGCGTCGAATGGTTTCGCGTTTGTCAGGTTAACTACCTCGAGCTCCCTACCTTTTAAAGCTATTACATTCGCCCTTTCGTTACTGACTACTCCCGAATGGGCTGGTACCCATATGATTTGAACCTTACCTGGGAGAGTATTCAGTTAAAGCTTTCTTACAATCCGTACAATCGTACTTCTGCCTGGAAGCTTGTGTTATGATTTGGTAAACGGTGGTATATATTTTTCTGGGTATTCAATATAGAACCCAGCCCCACTTTGTCCCCCAATTTAGAGCTATCCGTGTAACAACGGATTCCTACTGGTATTTGCTCTAATGTTCCGCTTGACCAAGACATTCTATCTGGGATCAGCGTTTCAAAGTTTCCGACATATTCTGTGTCTGGTATACGATCAGGCACGTCCTATGATTGTGTATAACCTTCCAATGTGTCCAGTATACATTGATGACGTGTCCTATAACCGCTTTTGGCCAGTTCGCCTAAAGTAAAGAGCCGTTCGGCTGTAAGCGCCGCCTCATATCTTAAATATGTTTCAATGGGTGGAATATCTTGCAACGTTTCCAGAGCCTTGGTTGAAGTAGTACACATGGCACCACTTATACCCAAGCAGCATGTACGCTGAACTCCCTGTAGTAGTTTGATATTGCACTTTTTGTCTAAAGCAGTCCACCAGATTATTGAAGCATAAGCTAGAATTGGTCTTATTACACTTTTATAAAGCCAATTTGTCATAGTAGGACTAAGACCCCATTTCATGCCTATAGTTCTCCTACATATCGCCCAGCACCGATGTGCCTTGTTGATCCTATCCTCTATGTGGTGTCTCCATTTTAATTTCCGGTCGAGGATTACACCAAAGTACTTAACTTTGTCTGTCACTGGTATCTTCTTTCCCAGGAAGCAAGGTTCAGTATACGTAGAAATTTTTGTCTTTCTTGTGAAAAGACAGATTTCCGTTTTTGCTGGGTTAACATTGAGGCATCTCGGTTGAGCCCAGCTCAAGGCCGTATTCAGAGCCTCCTCAGCTCTTCTACACAAGTAATTTGGATCCTTTCCCTTTAAAAGTATTACGACATCGTCTGCATAGCAGACAGGTCTAAGTCCTTTCTCGGTTAGGGTCCTTAGGAGGCTATTAATCGTGGTAACCCACAGTAAAGGTGACAAAATGCCACCCTGTGGTATACCACGAAATACGTTTTTCCTGATAGTTATATCGTACATATCGCAGCTTATCCATCTGTTATTCAGCATGTGGTTGATCCAGTTACGGAGCACCCGGTCAACATAAAACTGGTCTAGGGATTGGATAAGAGTATCAGTGTGCACGTTATTGAAGGCGACTTCGACGTCAATACATACCGCCAGTGCATATAGTTTGCTATCAAAGGATGCACCTATGTAGTGGACAACTTCGTTTAAAGCGGTTTCCACCGATCGTCCCTTTACATAAGCAGCATGCATTTTAGGTCATTGTCTGGTATACTGCTTTTAATCATATTATCGACTATCCGTTCCAAGGTTTTAAGTAGGAATGACGTAAGACTTTTCGGTCGATAGGTCTTAGGTGTCGCACAGCTAGGTTTCCCTTGCATCTTGCCATTTAACTGGCGTATATGTCAATTTCAAGCATGCAGTGAATATCTGTGACAGATGTACTGAAACCAGTCCCGCCTCCGTCTGTAAGAGTGCCGGGAAAATGCCATCCGGCCCTGCAGCTGTATAGGGAGCAAAGCTCTTGATTGCCCCTTTAACCATATCAGATGTAATTACAATTTCCGTGTTAGCCTCCCCTTCCTCCAATATCGGTTCATCTATGTTATTCGATATACCGGGTGGGAAATGAGAGTCCATTAGGAGTCTCATTGTCTCCTCCATATCCTCCAGTCTCCTGCCCGTATCATCGACCATAGATTCCGGTTGGACATGAGTTTTGGATAGGAATTTGTTATCTTCGATACGTCATTTACGCTGTCTACCTGTTCACAGAAAAGTTTCCAGGAGTCTCGTTTGGCTTTACAAACAATTTTCTTATATTCACCAAGTTTACTACGATACTCATCCCAGTATACTGCGGTCTTTTTACGCCGTGCCCGGTTAAATAGTTTGCGAAGAGACTTACCAAGGTTCCGAATCTCCCCGGTTACCCAGGGTTTCTCCTGGGCAGATCTTCGCTCTCGCAGAGGGCAGCTGTCCTCGAACGATACAACCAAGGCACTTGTGAGCATTTCTACTTTGGCGTATATGTCCTCTTTATTTCGACATTGAAAAGTGTTCTGACATAAACGGTTCTTTAGTAAGGAACCGAACATTGTCCAATTAGTTTTCGACTTATTCCAAAAATTTATCGGCTTTGGTGGCGGCCGTAGTATTTTGAATTTTATGTACCGATGGTCAGAAAAGGAGTGCTCGTCCGAAACTCTCCAATCCTGAATTTCGTTTATAAGCTCTTCTGAACATATAATTATATCTAATACTTCTTCTTTGATTCTATTGACGAAGGTAGCTTTATTAGCTAAGTTCGATGTGATCAAGTCTTTAGTATTAAGGAAATCCATAAGGGATTGTCCCCTGCGATCGGTGTTTGTAGTACCCCAAGCTACATGGTGGGAGTTAGCATCACAACCTATTACAATTTTCTTATTGTTCCTTTGTGCCTCTTCAACCAGTTTCATCAGATCCCAAGTTGGTGGTAGTGTCGGAGAATCGAAAGGCAGGTAAACAGATGCAAGGTACATGTTGCCACGACCTTGCTTCAGCACCGTTGCATCCGATGTGGACAATCCTGTTGAGAGGTGAAAACATAAATTCTTGTGACATAAGATACATGTTCTCGGTCGAGACCACGTATCAGCGTAGAAAAGTTGGAAAATTACCTGATTTAATCCAAAAACCTTGTTGCGAATCGTCCAAGGTTCCTGGATTAAAGCTATATGTATCTTACCTGTGTTAATTTTAGCCATCAGAGCGTTGGTAGCTGTCTCGCTCCGATGGAGGTTTATTTGGATAACCTCAATCATTGTCATCCATTTAAACTGTCTTCCAGCGTGTTAGTGATCACATCCCCGCTCGTTGGATTTGACTCCTTCGGGTAACCTGAAGTGGCTATTGATGCAGTGGGTACCTTTGATGGCACTGCGGTGTCCTTATCAGGCATAGCAAGAGCAGTCTTTTTAATCGACATTTTCCCAATTTTGGATAGCACTGCTGTTCTGTCTTCTGGCGAGTGAGTGATTTCCTCGCTTTTAGGATTTGACTCCTCAAAATTACCAGTACTTGCTAATGATGCTTTGGGTACCGTCTTAGGTGTTTTAGTGTCCTTATCGGGGCCGGTTTTGACATCCCTTTCAATCGGCGCCTCCCCAATTTTGAAAAGGGCAGCGCACCTTCTTTTGGCGAGTTAGTAGTAGCTTCCTCGCTTTTAGGATTTGACTCCTTAACGTTATCGGTAGTTGCTACTGATGCGGTGGTCTTAGGTGTTTTAGTGTCCTTTTCGAGGCTTGTTGTAATAGCCCTTCCAATCGGCACCTTCTCAATTTTGAATATGACAGCATTAGAGGCGAAGTAAGCCCTACCTTTATTCTTGGCAAGACTAGCCATAGATTTCTGGTCGATACCTATTACAAATAAAGTTCCCTCAGGTTCTTCTTTCCTATAAACGACATCCCATTTTCCACGGCCAGCTCAGCATTTTGACCACCAAGAATTTCCAGTATTCGTTCATTAGCCAGTTTACTGCCCTATCCTTTTATGTGGTCTTTAAGAGCACCGGAAGCTCGATCTTCTTTGCCAGTCCTAGCTTAGCACCGTCCCAGGGAGGAGGGATACTTTCCACCAAGTTCTTTAGGGTGAGATGCCAACCTCATCAACATCACGCCCATGCTGAACTCGCAGCTCACGCTCTCTATTGGTTGTTTGCCTTTTGAAGCGATTGCATAGTCCACTGGAATTTTGTCTGTCGGATTACCGGCATCATTAATAGCAGAGATCGTCCCGGTGACTTCTTCTGGAAATTTTGGCGGCTCTTTTCCTTTTCCACTGTCTAGCCTCTCTTTCCTCACTTTTCGGGGCTTCTTTTGAGATACCCGTACCTTCGAGTTTGATTTCGCCGACGCGATCGTCTTCGGAATATCTATCTTGGCGTTGTCACCCTTACTCGCAGGATTCTGACTTGAGGTTCCTTTGAGTGAAGTATGGCTTGCTTTTGACTGTGTATTAGAAGACGGGGAGCTCTTTATCTTCTTAGGTTTATTCTCAGTTGTCAACTCTTCGGGAGACCTGAACCTCTTCGAAAATTTTAAGTAAAGAGTTTTAAGTGAAACGTAATAGAAATACTTCCTATCCTTCTCAGAGTCCAGATCTTAATCCCATAGAACACATATGGGGAATTTAGGAGAAAAAAAAGATAATATACAATTAATAACAAACCAATGTTAAAAAATGCAATTCATGCAGAATGGCGGAATATTCTCACCGAAATCAATAATAAATTGGTCACAATCTGTGAAAAATAGTTTCTGAGATATCACCCCAAGACGAATTTCTTTGAACTCGCTATTAAAACTATGTTTACCTAATTTAG